CTGGGAATCCTCAGGGATGTGGGACAGTTTGGGGTTCCTCAGGGACATGGGACACTTTGGGGTTCCTCAGGGATGTGGGACACTTTGGGATTCCTCAGGGATGTGGGACATTTTGGGGTTCCTCAGGGACATGGGACACTTTGGGGTTCCTCAGGGATGTGGGACACTTTGGGATTCCTCAGGGATGTGGGACATTTTGGGGTTCCTCAGGGACATGGGACAGTTTGGGGTTCCTCAGGGATGTGGGACACTTTGGGATTCCTCAGGGATGTGGGACATTTTGGGGTTCCTCAGGGACATGGGACAGTTTGGGGTTCCTCAGGGATGTGGGACACTTTGGGGTTCCTCAGGGATCTGGGACACACTGGGGTTCCTCAGGGATGTGGGACACTCTGGGGTTCCTCGGGGATCTGGGACACACTGGGGTTCCTCGGGGATGTGGGACACTCTGGGGTTCCTCAGGGACATGGGACACTTTGGGGTTCCTCAGGGAGGTGGGACACCCTGGGGGTCCCCAGGGATGTGGGACACTGGGGTCCCTCAGGGAGGTGGGACACTCTGGGGTTCCTCAGGGAGGTGGGACACTTTGGGGTTTCTCAAGGATGTAGGATAGTCTGGTGTCATCAGGGACATGGGACATCCTGGTGTCCCTCAGGGACATGGGACACCTTCATTGACTGGGACATGGGATGTTCTGGTGGCCCCCAGGGACAGGGGAAACTCTGGTGGCCTTTGGGACAGGGGACACTTTGGTGGCCTTTGGAGCAAGGGACATTGTGGTGTCACCAGGACACAGGACACTCTGGTGGCCCTCAGGCACATGGGACATCATCATTGATTGGGATATGGGATGTTCTGGTGGCCCCCAGGGACAGGGGACACTGGTGTCACCAGAGACAGGGGACATTCTGGGGTTCCTCAGGGACATGGGATATTGGTATGGACTGGGACATGGGATGTTCTGGTGTCCCTCAGGGACATGGGACACCATCAGTGATTGGGACATGGGATGTTCTGGTGGCCCCCAGGGACAGGGGACACTCTGGTGTCACCAGAGACAGGGGACATTCTGGGGTTCCTCAGGGACATGGGACATTGGTATGGACTGGGACATGGGATGTTCTGGTGGCCACCAGGGACAGGGGACACTCTGGTGTCCCTCAGGGACATGGGACACCATCACTGATTGGGACATGGGATGTTCTGGTGGCCCCCAGGGACAGGGGACCCTCTGGTGTCCCCGGGGGCACAGGACACAGGACAGGGGCCACCCCCGGTGTCACCCACCTTTGGTGCCTTTGTACTGCACGAGCGGCAGCGAGCGACGCCTGCGCGAGGCCTCCTTGGGACACTGCACCTCTGGGGACAGGGGGACACGGGTCAGGGCCCCGCGGTGTCCCCAACACACCCCCCAATGTCACATCCCAAAGCTCAGTCACCTCCCCCATCCATGAGGTGTCACATCCCTGAGGTGCCACCTCCCTGACCCCCCAGGTATCACCTCCCTGACCCCTGAGGTGTCACCTCCCCGATCCCTCAAGTGTCACCTCCCCCACCCCCAAGGTGCCACCTCCTGCACCTTCAAGGTGCCACCTCCCATGTCCCCGAGGTGCCACCTCCCTGACTCCCAAGGTGTCACCTCCCAGATGCCTCAAGTGTCACCTCCCCAACCCCCGAGGTGCCACCTCCCCGATCCCTCAAGTGTCACCTCCCCCATCCCTGAAGTGTCACCTACCCAACCCCCGAGGTGTCACCTCCCCGATCCCTCAAGTGTCACCTCCCCCATCCCTGAAGTGTCACCTACCCAACCCCCGAGGTGTCACCTCCCCGATCCCTCAAGTGTCACCTCCCCCATCCCTGAAGTGTCACCTCCCC